TCAGTTCTGCCACGTATCAGCTGCCTGACTTCTGGGCATGTCTTTTCCTCTCTTATGGGCCTCACTTTCATCTTCTGTGAAAAGAGAGCAACAGAACTAGCTGACCACTAAGACCCTTCCCAACTCTGCATCTGTGATGCTCTCTGATCCCGACATCTGAGCCAGACCCAAAGTATTCAGCAGGGCTCTCTCCTCCCAACTGGCATGCCCAAGAACAGGGGATACTGACACACCCCAGCTCAAAAGTGCAAAAGGTGCAGTTGCAGGGAGCATAGGAGACCACGCAGTAGCGGCCCTTCGATCACGAAGCAGACTGTGACAGCGCAAGAAACTGAAATAATGGCCGGAGGCTTGCAGCCACAGACATCCCCAGGCCATGGTATGCACGGTACACTTTGCTTCCAAGTACTCATGGGCTGGGAAGGACCACCTGAAAGAGACAGGGCGGGACAGCGACAAAGAGAAAGAGGAAGGAGCCAGGAGCAGGCTTCTTGGGGCTCCACCAAGTGCAGCAGTGGCTCGGGCTACTACAGAAGTCTGGGCACATTCACTCTGCCCACCAGAGGACTCGCGTGCCCGCCAGCCTCCGGGACTGAGGCCCAGCACCCGACCGCAAACCAATTGGCCGCTTCCGGGCTAGCGTCCCGAGGTTGGAGGGCTAAGAAGCCTGGCACCCGAAGCGTATGGGTACCAGAGCCGCATCCGACGAATCCAAGTCCGGGAGTCACTTTCCTCTTCCAGTGCCCTCTGCGTACCCTAGAAACAAAGGCATGGCGAGAAGCGCTGACGACGTGGGTGAAATAAAGTCAGCAGCCGACCTTTTCATTCAGCTGGGCCAAGTAAAATCTTTGACATCGCACGTCTCCCAGTAATTGAATTCACTTAGACAATGTGGGCACCAATCACATAACTAGTTCAAAAGCGCATCCTGTCCTATATTCGATGTGCTGACGGAGGTAGGAGGCAGGCAAAACCCCGCGTCCCTGATCCAGCTCTGCATAGCCGCACTGGGCCTGGGCAGCAAAAGGACCAGATAATTGAGACAATAATCCGAATAATTTGGCTGTGGTCTCAATGTTCGGAGCTTTGTTCTCTAATGACTTAAACATTTCGAGTTCATGAACTTGGTCGAGTGCTTGAATCTGAGAAATTAAGAAAACAATTAAAGGAGACGGACGGACAGACACAGACAGAAACATGGACAAAAGCACAGAGATAAAGAGTAATTGGAGACAGAGCTGGAGATCACAAGAGCCAGACCCCCGAGGGTCCAAGTGCCCGTCTCAGACATTTATTAGCTATGTGAAATGGGCAAGTCACAGCCTCTCTGGGCCTCCCTTTCCTTATCTGTAAAATGACGGGTTTGCATTTGAAAACTTTCAAAGTCCCCTCAAACTTCTTCCAAAGCCGCAATCCTATGATATAAGTGCGCCTCTCTCTCTCTCTCTCTCTCTCTCTCTCTCTCTCTCTCTCTCTCTCTCTCTCTCTCTCTCTCTCTCTCTCTCTCCCTCCCTTCCCCCCTCTATCTCTCTATATAAACACAGATACACGTTCATTATAAATATCATATATATGTATACAGATTTCTGAGAAATGTTGGCTTTCACTAAGACTTTTTCACCAAACTGGTCTCTGAGACAATACCTAGGACACGGGAAATGGCCCGGGCTCGATGAGCCCATGTCAGGGTACATTGTAGACAAGATTCTTGTATAGGTACAGGTCGAGCTCACTGGCCTCTGAGGTTTCTTGCAGTTCTGAGGTTCGGCGAAGGATCAGGCGGTCTCTGCGCCTCTCTCTTCCTCCCCATATACGCGTATTTGCGGTGTGACCTCTGGCAGGCCTTTCTCTGCTCCCCTGGATAATACAACTGGAGCCGCCCTGACAGGTGGGGAAAGAAGGGCTAGGAATCACTTTAGAAATCGGAGTTGGGGGTGATAGAGATTGTGCCTTGTGATAAATTCCTTAGTGTCCCACCACCACCACCAATCTGTTGACTAAATTACCTGTATCTTTGCACCTTGGCAGATGGGGATTGGTTAAGAGGGCGGAGAAGGGGAGAGCTTATGTCAGGTGCTTCGCTCTCGACTCCTAGAAAGCGTGTTCTTGTCGTGGTTGCCCAATTGCTTTTCCTTCAGCTGGGCTTGCTAGTCCAGCCGCCGCGCAAAGCTGGTCAGTGGCGTCAGGGAGCCAGCGCCTGGGGAGGCGAGGAAAGAGACGCCCCCGGGTGTGGTGATTCTCTCCGGGCCGAGCTGTTAGAGCCCAGGCGCCCAGAGGTCGCGGGGTGCCACGGCCTATTAGGTCCCAGGCAGAGGAGATGGGAGCGCACGGAAGCTAATGAGGTCGGCCTGGCCTGGCTAGGCTCCCCGCCTCCCGACTCGCCTGCCTGACTTGGCCGTCGGGCCGCCATGCTTACCTCGCCGGCCAGGCGCGACCCCTGAGCAACTCACATCCAATTTGGACAGCACAAAAGCTGATGCCTAAATCCCCGATAACAAACAGCGACGCAGGGACCATTCAGAGAGCAGCTTAGCTCCATTCGGAGCTAATTAACTGGAATCTACCTCTCTCCTTTTCCCACTGTCCAATTAGTTTGCCTGTTTATGTCAGAGGGGGCTCAGGACCTTTGTGGGCGTAATTCGCTGTCTTCTTTCTATTGATCTTATTAGGACTTGGCTCCTTGGGTCTCCCAGCCCCCATCCAATACATGCACGCACACACACGCACACAGAGAGAGAGAGAGAGAGAGAGAGAGAGAGAGAGAGAGAGAGAGAGAGAGAGAGAGAGAGAGAGAGAGCGAGCGAGCTCTGCGGGACCTTAGAGGTTTTAGAATTGAAAGAGAACTACCCAAAATTATTTACCGCCCCTCTTCCTCTCCCCTCTGCCTTTTTTGGGGTCCATAATAAAAGTTCCAGTTTTTTCTATTACTCTGTGACTTTGGGTGATTCGTTTCCCCTCTCTAGGACCTCCGTTTCCCCTAAGAGTTGGACTTGACGCTCTTTAATCCCCAGTTCAATCCAACAAGCATTTCTTAAGCTCATGTTGGGTGCCAGGCACCGTACAGGGCACCAGGAATACCAAGACAAAGGCAAACAGTCTCTGCCCTCCAGGAGTTTCCAGTCTGCTGCTCATCACTGACATTCCACGTTCTAAGGGGCCCTTCCCAGCTCTAAACATGCTCTAAAGTGCTCCTACTTTGTATTCGTTCTTGTTTAGCGCGACCATTCTCTGCTCTAAGCTCCCTGCCCATCTTCGACAACCTATGATCTAAACTCTCTACAAGCTCTGAGTGTCTATTTCAAGATCTTTTCCAGCTCTGAAAATCTCTAACGTGGAACTTAAAAGTGCCATTACCCCAAGGAGGATGTGTCGATGGAATGGGATTGGATTGGCATGCTAAAGAAATTATTTTCTTTAGTAGTCTGGGGGAGGTGGGGAGAATGGCAATAAATAGGCTACGAAGCGCTGGGGGGGAGGAAGAAAAGGAGTAAGGGGGTGAACGGATTCTTTAGCCCAAGCTAAGGGGGAATGCGAGGTGAGGGTTCCATGGGGAAAGAGAAGGACCTCATTTCCAATCTCTTTTTTTCCCCCCGAAGTTCATTGCAGGGGAAGGGGGTGGAGAATTGAAGTCTAATACAGGTTGGATTGAGCCCCGCTGCACATGAAAGGGAAATTTATTAGTTCCCAAACCATCCAAGGAATAAACATCGATTTCATTGACCTAATTATGGGCCAGACTGTCTCTTTCATCGATCAAATAAAATGTAGAGAAGGGAAAAGGCAATATGAGCAGAAAGGAGAAAAACCAGGGTTTCTTTTAAAAGATGCTCTGCTGTGGCCTTGCTGGAAAGAAAGGCCAGGGCTCTGAATGGGGCTGGAGAAAATTATTTTCCAAAGTCTCCTCCACGAGAACAAGGAGTCAGCCAAACCAGAAATCTGGGCAATGGGAGGGGGGCAGGGGCTCAGGAAGTCTTGGACATATTACCCATCCGAGCTTCCTGGTGGACTGTCTATCAGAAGGAGCCAATCAATGAGGCTAAACATAATTTAACAAACCGACAGCGATTTCCCCTCATGTCTGAGGAGACAATCCCCTCCTTCCCTAAGTTTTCTTTCTTTCTTTCTTTCTTTCTTTCTTTCTTTCTTTCTTTCTTTCTTTCTTTCTTTCTTTCTTTCTTTCTTTCTTTCTTTCTTTCTTTCTTTCTTTCTTTCTTTCTTTCGTTTGTTTTCCAAAGAAAAAGACCAAGCTTCTAAGAGATAAGGGAACAGATTTGTCCAAGGGCATCAAATCTAATTTCTGGAAAAATAAAAACTAGCTCTCCTTCCGTCCTCCCTCATCCACACCCCAGCTTCGGGTCCGGAGGAGCTGCCCTGGGCCTCCTGGAAGGAGGCACCCGGGAAGGCTCTTGGCTCTGCTGGAGCCGAGTCAGAGTTGGGCCGCGAGACTGCTCCAACTCGTTCCACTTGAGGACACTTCCCCTCAGTCAATATGCCCTGCGCTTTCAACAGTCGCCACAGCCGCCTTTCTCTTCCTCTCTCCTTTGGGAGAATTGCTGTTGGGAGCTCCCATTTGGGTGGATTGCCAAACTCTAGCTGCCCCCAGGGCCCGGGATCTGCCGCTAGAGACCAGGCTGCTGGGTCTGGATTGGAGAGCGAGCATACTAACCGACTGGCTGCTCCTGACCTGGCCCAGACCCGGCCCTCGTCACTTTGGGCCACTGCGTTCTGGCTCCAGTTCTAGGCAAGAGGGATCCTTGGTGAAAGGAGACAACTCCCCCGATTGCTTTCAGTTCCCTTCTCCCCTAAGCTTGAGGCCACAGGAAAAGCTCCAAGCACCCCTCCCCCATTTACTCCCTTCCCAGTACAACACAGTATTACAGCATTTTTGGTTGCTATTGCGCGGGGGGGGGGGGAAGGGAGCAGAGGGGGTTCCACTTCGTGTGTTTACTTGGCATTTAGGAAAGAGGCAATTGGCCAGGATACCCTCCTGGAGGAAGCATCCCCAGGAACGGCTCAAGCTCAATCTGTCGCCTTGGGCTGCAGCTTGGCTGAGGGAGAAGGGAAGGCCCTCAAGTCCCCAGCGAGTGCAGAAAGGTACCCCGGGCCATCTGAAATGTGACGCCTCTCCCCAGCCCTACGTCTGCCCTCCAAAGTTCCTGGAAACGGTTCATGGCCTCACCCCGAGTAAGTCCAGTCCTTCAGGTCCACAGCTCCTATTTGCCCAGCTAACCCCAGGACCCACTAGCCTTTATGTGTTTGGGGGGAGAGGTGGGGGGCGGTAAGGGAGATATTCGGCCTGTCCTTTACCCTCTCTGCTGGGGCCAGAGGAATTTAAGATTTAGGTGCTCCTGTGTGGGAGTGCCTGATCTACGAGCTTGGGTTCTTGTTCTTACAAACGTTCCTCTGGTTCTCGCTTCTTTTCAACTTTCCTACAATATTTCTCCAAATCCCTTTGTTCTCCGCCCCGCAGGCAGAAGGATCCGAGCCCTCTCAGGCTGAGGAGCCTGACTGTTTCCTTTCCTTCTTCTCCTCCTCTTCCCCGTGGGCCCTCCCTCCCCAACCTTCGGCGCTGCCTCTGCCCCAGCCTCTCCCGAGCCCTGCTCAATCTCAGAGCTGTTCCCTGGCAGCCCAGCGTTTGGCCCGCGCGGAAAGCCGCGCAGGTAAGACAAACAGACTCCAGTCTCGGAGCCTCGGGGTGAAGTCTCCCTCGAGCGCCATCCAGCGGTTAGAGAGCAGGGAAAAGCTACCTGCTTAAAAAGCGAAGCTCCCCAGCAAAGATTTACTCCCATTGGAAGTGCATCTGAACAGAGGCTAGAAGGGGGAAGGGACTGGATGGAATCTCCCATGCAGACCCCACCCCCATCCAAAAAAGATCCGATGATCTTTCCGCGCGGGTAAGATTTATATATCCGGAGCTGGAAGGCACCTTGTCTAATCTAACCCTCTCATTTTATTGAAATAATTGGAGAAGTTTAGCCTGGAGAAGAGCACATTGGGATCGAGATTTTTTTTGTTTTGTTTTGGTTTGGTTTGGTTTGGTTTTGGCTAGGCAATGGTGTTAAGTGACTTGCCCAGGGTCACATAGCTAGTATATGTGAAGTGTCTGAGGACGGATTTAACCCTCTCATTTTAGAGATGAGAAAACGAAGACCAGAAAGATGAAGTCACCTAAGGTCACTCTCTCAGCATTTAAGTAGCCAAGTTTCTAACACATATCCTATAGCTTCAAGGTTATCGCGTTCCTCACTGAACTCCTCTATATAAAGTTGCCACAGCCTTCTGAAAATGCGTTTAAAATGTCTATTTTTTTCCCAGCTTTCTAGCCCCTCCTCACCCCATTCATCACTAAGATAGGACTTTTATAAGAGGTTGCATGAAGTGGATGGAGTCACTGAAGACCTGGGTTGGAATCCTGCCCAAGATGCATTGCATGATGTTACTTAAACTCTCTTAGCCTCAGTTTTCTCATCTGCAAAATGAGATTAGACGTGTTGTTGAGCCATTTTTCATTTGTTTCTGACTCCTGATGACACCTTTTGGGGTTTTTCTGACAGAGACACTGGAGTGGTTTGTCATTTTTTCTCTCCAACTCATTTAACAGATGAGGAACTGAAGCAAACAGGGTGAAATAACTTGTCCAGGGTCACACAGCTAGGAAGGGTCTGAGGCCAGATTTGAACTCAGGAAGATGAGTCTTCCTGACTCCAGGTCCAGGACTGTGCCACCTAGCTGCCTTGAGGCCTGGACTACATAATCTCTAAAGCTTTAAGTGTATGAACCAGTGACCTATAGAGCCAGATCAATATCAAACCGCTATTTCAACAGATCCCATCATCCCAAACATTTGTTGTGTCCATTCATCCACCTTACCTAGACACTTTGGTCCTTCCCATCCATTTATCTCCCTATGATCATTTGCAAGGCAAGTGCCCTAGATACAACCAGAGATTGACCAGAAAGTGCCATAGATTTGGGATTTCTCTCCCCCTCCCCACCCCAGGTGTTATGTCCATCTCTGCAGCCACCGCACTTGTCAATTTCATCTGGTGGTCAGGGTGGTTTACCATGCATGCATACTGAAATAGGGCATATAGCACGGCATTCTTTAAAGAGTGCAATGTTATCTCTGGATAATCTGGACAGATGCCTGGGTGCACATATACACATGCATTACATACATTATTGAAAGGGTTACTTTACTGCAAGGGTAAAACACCTAAAGAAAGGAGCAGCATATTCTCCAGATACCTGATAATTTATAATAGGTTATCTTTACTGATATGAAAAAGGGGGGGACGGGGCAGCTAGGTGGCACAGAGGATAGAGCACCAGCCCTGGATTCAGGAGCACCTGAGTTCATATCTGGCCTCAGACACAACTCTTACTAACTGTGTGACCCTGGGCAAGTCACTTAACCCCAATAAAAAAAAAAGGCCTGGGGAGGGGTTGGGGGGGTGCAGCACTCACTGAAAAACTTCGAAAAGGCCATGCTTACTAGACTGACTCTGGCAAGGGGTGTGCTTCCTACATGTTTTCCCGTTCCTATTTGAATCGCCTCTTCAGGGCCTGTGACTCCCAAATGGATACTGCATGCCCAAAGAAAGCTATGATTGATGAATGCAGCATGGACAGAGGGCTAGCTTTGGAATAAAGAAGACATGGGTTCAAATTCTGCCTCTCATATATACTGGTTGTATGACTCTGAGTAAGTCACTTGATCTGTCAGCATCACAAGCCTCTAAAACTATAAATTGCAGAGCTTCTAGTAGGCATTGGTGGAAGCTTATTTCCTGATGAAATCAGGAAGAAAACACAAGCCCAGGCTTCTTCCCCCCTCACATCCCTGAAATGTAAGAATATTTCTCTATGAATGAAGAATAGAGTGGTGGAAAGGAGTAAGATGAGAGAGAGACAAAGAGACAGACACAGACAGATGGACAGAGACAGAGACAAAGAGGCAGGCAGGCAGAAGAAGGAGACAAAGACACAGAGAAAGATGGAAAGGAGAAGGAAGAAGAGGAGAGGAGAGAAACTCCTTTAGAATAGGAATTGTTTCATTATTTGTTTTTGCATATATACCATCTGTGCCCAGTACACAGTTGGTGCATGATAAATGCTTGTTGTTTGACAGATGGTATGTGGATTTCTAGGCATTCTACTCTTGACAAATCTTTCACCTAGGGCAATGGGGACTATGACATTTGGGGTCCCATTTGGTTCCCTCTCTGAATGAGTGATTGTGTTAATACAGAAAAATATGACTGGGTATCTGGCCTTGGTGGTCATGGTCTGCTAGTGTCATCGAGGGATAACAAACTCAGGGAGTTTTCCACTCTTTCTCCATCAGCCCTTCTCCCACTCTCCTAACCCCTTGTACTCAAAATTTTAAACTTAATTTTCAGCTCCTGTCACCTGCCAAGGAATAGATCCGGAGTATTTCAACTCCTCCCCTTCCCCCCCCCGCCAAAAATGCCTCCCTTTTTCTGGATCCTAGCACTTCAGGACGTAAGTAGGGAAAATGAAATACAGAAGTTAGCCCAGGTTATTCATGACATTCATACACAGCCCTAAAAGTGAGTATAACATCATATTTTAACTTGTCTAATAAAAAAAAAACCATGCCTCCCCCATTTTCCCCTTTCTGAAAAGAACTGTAGCCATAGTAAAGAGGTTTTGGAGGAGGGGCAGGGACTGACACATTATTTACACCTGCAATGTTGGGATGACTATATTTTGCCCCAGTTGACTCAATTGTAAATCTTTTCCTTATGGCCTCAAGTCCTGCTCATCTGGGTTTAATAAGTCTCCCTTGCACCCCTGCTGCACCAGTTGGAGGAGAGGCCCTAACCTGCCTGGCGCACTGAAGCCAGGCTGAGCAGCCTATGGGTAATTACTAGAGGCACACTAATGGGCTGCCCGTGCACCAGGTATCCAAAGGGGAACTTTTACTTCCATTGGACATTTCTGAAAATAATTTCCTTCAGTTAGACTCTAAATAAGCAAATAAAACCCCTTTCTGACTGGCCTACAGGAAAAGAAGTTAGAAACCAAGGGAAAGGATGCCTTGATCTTGGTCAAAACTTATGCCTTCCCAACTTGTTTTCTGTGTCTCTTTACTGGGCACCCTTCAGTCTCCCATTTCCCAGTGAGCTTATATTCCTCTTCATCTGGTTATGGGAAGCTGCCTTATTTTCAGGATTTACTGGAAAGGAAACACACCCCATTTCTCTCTCTCTTCCTCTCTGTCTCTACTCTCTTTTTCTTCCTCTCTCTTCCTTTTCTTCTTCTTTCTTCCTTCTCTATCTCCCTCCCTCCCTCTCTCTTTCTCTCCTCTCTTCTTCTTCCTCTCTTTCTCCCTCTTCCTGTCCTTTTCCTTTTCCTCTCCTTTTCCTTCTCCTTCCTTCCTTCCTTCCTTCTTTCCTTCCTTCCTTCCTTCCTTCCTTCTCTCTATCTGTCTCTCTTTCCTCCTGAGAAGCTAAGATTCCCTTTGACATTGTGTGCCCTGAGAGTCACTGTTTGCCTCTCTGTGTCTCCATCTGTCTGCTTATCACTGTTTATCTATGCCCCTCTCTGAAACTCAGTGGATGTCTGATTGCCAGTCTCTGTGAGCCTGTGCCTCTTTGTTTCTCAGCTGTCTATTTGTCTCTCCATCTTTCTATCTTCTTCATCAGCTGTCCCCCCCCCCCGCCTGTCTCTGGCTGCTTTCATCTCTCTTTGATTCTGTCTTCCTCTCAGCCCCTCTGCCATGTCTTCCTTGCGTGGGTCCTGATCTCTCTCTCTCTCTCTATCTGTCTCTCTGTCAGTCTGTCTGTCTCTCTCTCTCTTTTTCTCCCTTTATAATTAATTTTCCAACACTGGCAAGGGGAATTGTAACAACTCTGTAACAGTCAGGACTTCGGCTTTGCCTCACTCTCACTGTACTTTTCAATAGTTGGGGGAAAAGGCAGAAAGATTCCCTTACTGCATTAAAGAGAGCCTAACAAGATTGTGGCTACCTGGTTTCTGCTTCTAAAGAAACTAATCATATGCAAGGATTTGAGGCCAGACTGACATCTCTCATCAGACTGACGTCTCTCCTGTTCCCGGAGGAGATAATGATTGGTGCAATTCCCAAATGAAATGTGCTATTAGCGTTATTAATAAAACCCTGCAAGTTCCCAATGTAATTGCTGGTTAGGGGTTGGGGCAAGTAAGCTGGACAAGGAAATGCCCCTCAGCAATCCAGCTAAGGAGTACAGGACTGAACCCATACTAGGGACAGTGCTGGGGGAGGTAGGGTTGAGGCCAACTTTGTGACCCCATCAGTAGGTGGGTAGTTAGTTTCCCTAACTAGAGTTGCTTGGCCATGTTTTGATAAGTGTGCCCCTTGAAACCAGGCACAAACCAGGCAGAGGGGTCTCAGAGCCCAAGCCCACCTCTCCAGTTTCACTCTCACTGTGGCCTGGGCTGGACCCAGACTCAGCTAGTTTTGACACTTTTTGGATTGAGGTAGATCTAAGCAGAGAGCCCTGTAAGTCCCCTTTCCCTCTCACTTCCCCCAAATGGTGTCCTCCAAACAAGGGAGCTTGCACCTCACCTTGATTCCTTCTTCAGTGTCCTCCCTCCCAGATTGTGGCCCAATCTAGATTTGCTAGAAGTAACTTTTTCCAGAGATTTTTTTTAAAAGGCTTAGATACCCCTAAGAAAGTTAAGTACATCATCCCCCAGTGAGAAATCTAAAACCTTCCCATCCATTCATTAATTAAAAAAAAAACCAACCCTTTTTTTTAAAAAAATGTCTCTCAGCTTTCTTTCAAACCTTTTCTTTTGGAGCATCTTCTGATAAGACACAGATAATTTTTCCCAACTCATCTGATCTTACCCCTCCCCAACTCCTTAAGGACAAGGCTAAGACTGAAATAAGAGAGAAGGACCTTGTAGTTACATCTTTCTCTTTTCCCATGCATCCTAGGGTTAAACATATCCAAATGTAATGGACAAATGAGGTCTGGATACAACACACTCAAGATTAGGGACAGGTCATAGGAGTGGGGTGTGAGATTGATGCTGCTGACGGAGGGGTTGGTTCACAGGAATCGGTCAAAAGCTCAGTGTTTAAGGTCCTTTCTCTTGGTCCAGGAATTTGGTATGTTTTCTTCAGTCAGAAGGCTGGATCTACAAAGCCAAAATAACCCAGAAATTCAAAGCAAAGAAAAGGTTCCCTAACCTGCCCTCCCCATTAATTCTAGATAATGGCCATTGTGTGTGGAAATCCAGTCAGAACCTTGGCCCTACATTTTGTGGACCACTGATTGTTGGAGGGTGGGTCAAAATGAACTTTCTAGGCTTCAGAAAGAAAGAGGATGGGAAGGGAGCAGAGAAATGTGTGTGTGTGTGTGTGTGTGTGTGTGTGTGTGTCTGTGTGTGTGCGTGCATGCATGAATGTATGTATGTGTGTGTTGTGGTGTGTGTGTGTGTGTGTATAAGGGGGGGTGGCAATTTAAGTCGATGGCTTAGAAAGACATAGGAACACTTAGGAGTTGAGACGAACTAAGGGACAGACTCTTACGAATCCAATCATTCAGACTCAGACAGTGGAGGGTGGTCTGGGGAAAGTGGGGGTGGGGTGGGTGGGCAATGGTGGATAGACAGAGACAGAATTGAGAAGTGAGAGAGAAACCAGAGACAGATTTCAAGACAGAGAGACAAAGAGGGAAGAAGACTGAATGCCTGGTAAAATACTGAATATAGATCAAAAGAGAAGGTTGTGTTTTCCCTGAGGTGAGAAGGAGGAAGTTTTAGTTTTGAAAATAGGGAGAAAATTCTGGGTCTTTTAGAATTCCTAGTTTCCCTCTGGACTTCACTCAGGCAGCACTTTCTACATGAAACCTTTGCCGATGCTCCCCTGACCCCTCCCCCCTTCATCATCTCGTATTCATCTTGTCTCCATTTTGTATATACCTATATATGTGCACAATTTCTCCCTCATAGGATGTAAGTTCCTTGTATTCTACTTGTCTCATTTTTCTCTTTGTATGCCCTGTACTTAGACAATGTTGGGCAATTAATAGATGGATGCTGATTGATTGATCTGCCTGAAAACAATTACTCATTCCACTTAGGCAACCGATGTACCTCTCTCTCATTTAATATGGGGTAGAAGACTACAGTCTCTTCTATTTTTCTCATCTTCCTTTCTTTCTCCCTTTTCTCCTCCCACCCCCACCTCAGACATGCTCTAGTCAAGAATTCTGAGTTTGAGCCCAGGTTCTGCCACTTAGAGGCTGTGTGACCTTAGGAAAGTCATTTCATCATTTCTGAGCCTCAGTGTCTCAAAGTATCAAATGGGAGTAATACACTCACAGATCTGTTGTCATGAAAACTGCATTGTAAACCTGAACATGCTATAGAAATGTAAGCTGTTACTCTTATTATGATTTAGTCTACTTTAATGAAACATCAAGAAATGACATTGACAAATCCAGATGCTCACAGAGTTGGAAGGACTGAGACAGGAAGGAAAAGGGAGAAGGGGATCCCAATCTTCTGCCCTCACTGTCCATTTTTCTCCTGTTCCTCAGTATAATGAAGCCAGTCGTTTTAATTGAAACCCAGTAAGAAAAACAGAAATAGATAGTATGCTCAAATTGAGAAAACTTTTCCAGAACTCCATGAGGATGGTTAGTTCACCAGAATCGAGGAAGCTTGTTTGTCTCTTCCCTGTCATTTGCCTATTCACAGCAGTCCCCATTCAATTCACCGTCCCTTCTCCTTTACACATTTTTGTCAATCCCTCCCAGACAGATGATAGCCACGCTCTCCAGCGTGCCTGTCTGTTTTGTTCTCTCCTCTCCCTCTGTGTCTGTCCCCTTCCTTTCCACTTCTTATTCTGATGACTATAATTAAAAAAGAGAAATTGGGAGCATACCACAACTCTATTCTCCAGCACGGTTGTTGAATGGAACATTTGGGTTTCTACTTTTCTCCAATTCTGCCTTTGCCTCTCTCTCACCTTGTCTCTCTGGGGACTGGAAACCACAGGCAACCCGACATGTGGGGTCAGATGAATGCCCCACCTCGCAGGGGTCCAACAAACTTGGCGCCCCATTCAAACATTGAAATAAGCTGTCTGGTGCGTGAGGCTCCTGATTAGGACACCTAAGCTGGGTAACTTCCTTTCCGATGGCTTCCCAGAATTACCTCTGTGACACTCCGGCTGTTGTCCTTAACCCCTGCCTCTAATTCCTAACCCCACCCCCACCCCCACCTCCAGCTTCATCCTGTCTTTCTGCCCAAGGTTAGAGCCCAAATCCTGGATGAAATCTCCCAATAGTGGGCTTCAACCTTCACTCTGGGCAAAATCAATGGTGAAAAGAGGGGAGGGTGTTTTTATTTGTTTTGAAAGAAGTATTTTCTGGTCAAATCTGATTAGTGAGAAATTTAGCGTTTTGCCATCCACTCTTGCTCAACTCAGTCTAAGAAGAGGAGTATACATGTGTGTAAATAGATCTGATGATAGATGTTAAAAATAAACATGGTATAATGCATATTTATTTCATGAGTCACCATGTAATAAATTATATGTTACAGTACAATAATATTTATATTTGTTCATATACATATGTATTTCAGTTTATTCCTTAGACTATATTATCTTTTTTTTAGGTGGTTGAAGATATCTGCATAAAGAGAAAACTCAAAATATACAGCTCTGTGCAACTAGGAAACTACACTTTAATCCCTCTTCCTGAGAGGGAGAGAAAAAGAAAAATTCTGTATCGAAGATGTTTAAAACTACAGCGCCCCTAATCTCCCCCCCTTCCCACCCACCCTCCTTCAACTTATCTAAATCATTATCTTCTTACAAATTTACCAGCTCTGAGGTGGTGACTTTAGACAAAAGAAAAATGATAAAATAAGAATAATAAGGATAGTAAGGGTGACATTTTTTCATTTCACTCTTGCCAAAAAATTATTTACATTAAAAGGAGGCATGATAAAGGGGGATTATGTGTATGGGCCATCATGCTTTGGGAACAGGGCACCGAGTGGCGCCAAAGCATGTCTTTAAGGCAGAAATATTGGGGCCCCCAGCTAGACAGCTTTGACAATCTGCATACACCCATACACACACGAATTCAAACTATTGCACTAAATTTCCCTGATCAATAATTCAGAGACCTGTCAAAGGACATGTGAATGAAAGTTATAGAAGAAGCAGCATCCTGGCTGATTCTTCAAGGCATGAAGGGAATCTAGAGGCTAGAGCTTTCTAACTTAGGGCCTGAGGGCCAACAGTGACTCTGAAGGGTCTGATTTCCTTTTGACCCCCATCCCAGATCCCAAGATTTAAACTCTGCTTTAGCCCTTTTGGCCAGAGAACTTTCGAGAAACTGAGAAATCTGGTCCTCATGGATTGCCCCAACCTAAGAAGTAAGAGGTAAATATGTGGATAAAAACACAGGCCCCCCACGTGTAACCAGAAAATAGAAAGGCATTTCTAAGGTCCCCCAAGAAGTAAATATGTAGGAATGTGAAACTTGTCTAAATCCTCGAGTGCTACTAGCCTCAAAAGGGGGAGAAACAAGGCATTCTGTCCTGTTTATGAAAAAGAAAAGAGGGGAAAGAAAGGGAGGGGGGAGTACAAGAAGAGAAAGGAAGGGAAGGGAAAAGAAAAAAAGATGAGAAAGAAAAGACCAACGAACACGACCAAATCATGTCCTTATTGTTACTGGCACTAGAGCCAAGTAGAAGACAGATGTTTGATCAAAGCAAGACAGTCTCTTTTCTTGACCAAAAGAGGAGCTTCAGGGAGCCAGCGGGTGTAAATGCAGTTGTGAGGAGGGAGGAGATGAGAGCAAACGGACTGCTTGGATCTTGGGGTTCCACTCAGCTTGCCGATCTGAGTATTGGATGTTCTGGGGACTCAGCCTGAGATGGTGTAAGGGATAACCCCCCCCCCCCCCGGCAAAGAGCGGAAAGGAACCGAAAGGCAAGCGGGTCGCCAGGGAGGGATGTGAGAAGATAGAATTCAACTCTCCTCCCGCCCCTACCCGCACCCCTTCCGGCCTACACCCCAGGACTGCTTCGCTAGACGTTTAATAAAACCAAAATGCCTATAGCAAAAGACCCGAAGCTCACCCAGGAATGGAACAAAGAGTAGGGGTGAGGCTGTGGTCTTTCTCCTAGCCGATTTCAAGCGCTTGTCCATTTCAGAAGTAGGTAGGCCAGAAGGTGAGGAAGGGAAGGGAGTTGGTGGAGAGGTCGGGGGTTGGCTCAGACAACAGGCAATTTCTAAATAATCCAAGCTGCAGGCTGGCGGCCCCCTCCCCAGTAAAAGTTTATATAGTCCAAAGGTATTGAGTAAGTCCTTAGAAACCTACTTAATTAGGGTCCAAGAGCCTCCCGGAGAAACCAGGATGCCTTGTGTCAACACAGCTCCCTTGTAGTGACACCTTGGGCTCAATTGAACCGCTCAGGCAAACGAGGGTGAAAGTTTAAGTAGGAATACGAGCGCAATAGTCCACAGCCAGACCTCACACGTGCTAAAGAGAATATTTACAGCAAACTTGCCAAAATAAACGAGCCCGCCCACCCCACCACCACCTCCCCTTATTTTTTTTTTCAGATAAACACGCTTAGCCCACAAAAGAGTCAGACTGTCTCTTTTAAAGCTAGAGGCAGGCATAGCTGCCGAAAAAGAGATTTTGAGCCGCTATCAGGCTCCCAGAAAAGGCAGCCTCCTAGAAGATGAGGCCAACACATCTGTACACATCTGTCCCGTCAGCCTCAGGGACAGTGATCTTACTTGGGGCCTTGCAGCGCTTCTCATAACCCCTGAGCGCATAATGCTCATTTGCCCTCAACTCTAAACCCTCGAGACTTATTCGGGAGAAACGGGAATCGGGGCCTAGCCCAGGACTTTCTTCCCACCCATCCACCTCCCACCCAGACCCCAGAAGTAGGAGATTGCTTCAGGTGCTGTAACAGGCCAGAGCCGAATTTTGGCTCTGGGGACATCAGGGTCCAGGGGTATTCACTTTATCTGTTCCAATTTCCTCTGGGGAATCAAATCTCATCCCCTCCCTGGTGACAGCACCCACAGCTCAGCCATCGTGAGAGCAAAACTTCTCTCTTCAGAGGTCCTGTTTTTCTTTAAAGGAAAGGGTGGGAGTTGGGGCGAGGGCCTGGAAAAAGGCTGAGAGAAAGAGAAAGAGTAAAGGAAGAAAGAAGAGGATGACGAAGGGCAAGGAAGGGAGAGCCTGCAGCATGGAGGCAGCGGAACCGAGTTCTCCCCTGAAGCCGGGCAGTCAGCCCTAGCAGAGGGTGGGAGGGGAGTGGCGATCGGGTCCCAGCTCCTTCCAGAGCGGCGGCTGGGCGGACCAGGAGCAGCTGGAAGCTGCTGGCCAATGTTTAACTCGGGGCCCCGGCGTGGTGGCCACCGGTTCCTCTTTGTTTGCTCGCAAATTAATCATCCTTTGCGCAGTCGGCGCCAGGCTGGATTTATCACACTCGGGGAGGGGGGCTCGGCGGCCGGGGAGAGACAAAGGGAGTTCGCACCTTCCAGCTTTTGATCTCCGATTAGTGCGGCCTCCCTGTATAATACGAGTCTCCAGGGGCCCAGTCTGGGAGGTCAGTGGTAATTGGAGGAAGTTTGTAGACCATTAGCGAGACGGCGACATTTTAAAAATCATAATCCGCAAACTTTCACCCCCCTCACCTTTAGTTCCAGGAGGGGCTGCAGGGGTTTGGTGAGGAAAGGACCCTGGGGACGGGAGCAAGCCCTGAGTCTGGGCCTCAGAGAGAGAAGATAGAGGTTGGAAGTAATCTGGTCGTTGCCGTTTTTAGGGAGAGAGCCCTGAGCTATGTAACTATCAGGGAGCACGCAGCTCTCAGCTACGCAAGAGAAATGTTTCAATCCAAGCCCCCTCACTCCCCATGCCCCTCAATCCGTGGCAATGAACGGAAGGCCCAAGGATCTGGATGGAACGACTCTCTCTCCCTCTATTGGGAAGCAGGAGGGCAGAGTGGGTGGGTGGCAAGAGAGTGGGAGAGAGAAGTCATCTTGCGTTTGTCAAGGCAGTTTCCAGAAGATCTCCGTGGCTGGGTTGGCACTGGGGGGTGGGGGTGGGGGAGAAGATGATCGCGTGTACTTGGAGGGATACACTTGAAAGAGGGCAGGAACAACAGAGCAGAGCCAGACTTTTAACTAGACCAGGAGAAAGTCAGGAAGCGTCAGGTCCTCTGGAGAAGAGGTCATGACATTCGCGGCCCACCTGAAAACATCCTGAAGCAGGCCTCAAATAGTAATTCTCATCACAAGGGCTAGTAACAAATGGGAAAAGGTGGGAACCCTAGAACCCCTAAGCCACAAACAACCCAGCTATCCCTGTCAGGAGCTCCCGAACGCACTGTCTTGTCTTAACAGCCGTCTCGAGACACAACGGAAAGGTTAGAGCTTGTAGCAAATAACTCCAAGTTTCCAGGTTGTTTTTTTTTTCTCTGTCTTCCTTCCCTAAACTCCACACACATACTTTGGGGGGGGGGAGGGAGGGAGGGAGAGAGAGAGAGAGAGAGAGAGAGGAGAGAGAGAGAGAGAGAGAGAGAGAGAGAGAGAGAGAGAGAGAGAGAGAGATGGGCCTCGGTTTGGTGAAGGAGTGTGTAGACATTGACGACCATAGGGAATTCTCAGCGCTGGCGCCAAGCTCTCTTAGACATGTGCGTCAAAAAGACACTGGTTAAAAAAAAAATCGCCTCAGATGTTCCCCTCCTATCTCTGCGCATTTAGCCCACAATGGAACTGCATTTTCTTCCGCTGCTGGAGAAGTAGTGTCTTCCCTTCCCCCCTCGTTAAGGAAAGGGGGTGTCTACGGCATAGAAAATCTAAGACCAGATTGCCGGCTTCCGCCACGGATCCCTTCTGCTTTCTTGCCCTCTCCTAGTCAGAGCCAAGGACTGAGCCCTTCAATTCTGCCTCCCCCTATAAATCTGTGCATCTCACTCCCCTCATCACCTTCCCTTTTCCTAGAACACACAAAAAGAACTTAATTCCACAAAAGTTCATTTAAAGCCTTCTAGGGAGAGGGAAGTGTGAGAATGTACTTAAAATGAGGGTCTTTTTTTCCACTGTGTTCTTTAATTCTAGGCCTCTTGTCTTCTTCCCCCCTCCCCCCAACCTTCTGACCTATTAGTTTCACAACCCCACCCCCAGCTTTTGCGCTCGGGACTCTACTTTCCCTCCCCTCCCGGACCAGAGCCCGAGGGCCGAGGAGAGTTCGGTGACCCTGTGCTGGTCAGTGGCTCTAGAAGAGGCGGGAGAGGGGAGTAAACAGTAACCCATTCGGCGCCAGGCTAGATAATTCCATCACATTCCCTTAACCCCTACTCCCATCCCACTAGGGCCCGAGGCCCCCACCTTACCTGGAGTAAAGCCGGATTCCCGAGAACCGGTCACCTCTGACTCTGGGGCAGGGGCGTTTCACTGTTTGCTTTACAAAGTCTCCCCTGATTTTCTGGCCCGATAAATCCCAGGTGAAGAAAGAGCACGGGGCCAAGCAGATAACGAGAATGATTCTTGGACTAGATATCCCCTGCCTCGCCACCTCTCCCTCCACCCCCTCCACATACCCCACCCAAGCTTTCAGGCCCAGGCCTTTGCCAATGGGGACCAAGGGGACTAGGTAGAGATGCCAGGGATAAAGATGACTGGTGGGCGAGACCCTAAACACCTTCCTCGATCTGGGGATGTTTTTCCTGACCCCGAATCTGTCCGGACTCAAGGCCACAGACAGTACCCACTAACTCTACATCTCCTTGCTTTGAGAAAAATCAGAATTAGTCTCTCCTCCTACCCTAAGCAGGAGGGTATATGCAGAGTGTAAATAATTGCCTGTATGCAGGGGATGTCAGAGTGTACCGTTGTGTTTTGATATAATTGTGGGCACGTGTTTGAGTTTGGGGTTTGTAAAAAACATCTAGTAAAGAGTATACTTAAAATGTCCAGTGTGTCTGTGTGGTACATAAACTGTGATCTGTATGTATATGTTTATTCATTATATTATAGATTATATTATTCATTATATCCATAATATTATGGAGCCATTTTTCGTGTCTCCGTGTTGGTATGCGGGGTCCGTTAATGGATTTATGGTTTTTTTTAATATATTTTCTTGTATATTCTGGAGGGAAACATTCTGTATTTAAACAACTTTGGGTCTTTGTTTAAACAACTTTGTTGTATATTCTGGGGGCCGTGCAAGTGTTTATACAACTGTATCTGAAAACTGTCTCTTGTCTATTCTGAGATCCATGAATGTATTTAAATGACATTGGGTCTTTTGGTCATGCATGTGTTTCTTCGATAATTCCGACTATCAGTATTGTGTATGCTGTGGTCAATGCAAAGCATGTTGCGTTTGAGTGCATTTGTGTATGCGCGCGCGTGTTTGTGTGCCTCAGTAACTCAGGCTTGTGTAATAGGAGTAGCCCGGGAGCCGGAGTCGGCAGCTGTGGGTGCCTTTCTCTGTCCTAGCAACTCTCAACGTTCCGGGGCCCCGCAGGCGAGGCGCCCACGCTGCGCTCCGGAGGGCGCGGCTGCCCTTGCGGAGCCGTACACGTGGGGAGAAGCTAGGAGCAAGCGGGGGGAGACTGGTGCCAGAGCCCTAGCCGGCGCCGGAGCCTCTCCTAGCCTGAGCCCAGCCCCTGCGCCGCGCCGCGCCGCGCTAGGTCTGTCCCTCCCTCACTCCCTCCCGGTCGGGCACAACTCCCCCTCGCCCTTCTCATCCTTCCTGCCATTGTAGGGAGAGGCGACGGCGAACGCTGCAACCTCCGCCAACCTTAGCAGCCCGGAACGGGCCAGATCTCCCCCGCCAGGCCTCCTGGAGTGAGGGGAGAGGAGGTAAGACGCAGGGCGACTCTAGCTGGACTCGGAGCCGGCGAAGTAAGCGGCAGCCGCCGAGGAGAGAGGAAGGAAGGCGCGGGCGGCCAAAGTCCTTCCCTCGGTGCCTGTCTGCCTGCCTGCCTTCCGCCGGCTCCCAGGCTTTCCTCCTCTCCTTCCTTCCCCGGCCCTTCCTCCTCCCTCTGTCCTGGGATGGATAACTGAGACATTTCAGACAGCAAAAAAGAAAAAGAGAAAGAAAAGGGGGCAAGCCAGCGAGAAAGCAAGAGCTCAGGGGGTTGCGGGTGATTTCTCCTCGGATAAGCCACCTAGAGGCGACTCCGTTTTTGTCTCCCCAGTGGCTCTGCGCCCTCCGCCCTCCGCCCTCCGCCCTCACTCTCTGATCCTGTTGACAATATTCACACGGCAGAGAGTAGTAGAGATGCTTCGCTACAACATTACAGTTTCCGACACCTTTTTATAACTCGGCTCGATCCCCCTCCACTCGACCTGTCAAAACCACGCCTATGGAGCTACACAATTGGTCCGAAAGCGTCAAAGAGCCAATCAAGAAAGCTTGAGCTTCCTCGCAGCTCACAACACATCCGCACGATCTGGCGCAAGCAGAGCAGACTCACAGGGATTTCTTGAGGCTGAGGGTGTCTCTCTTACAGCTCTCTCTCTCTCTCTCTCTCTCTCTCTCTCTCTTTCTGTCTCCGGCTCTTTCTCTTTCTCTCCCTCCCTCTCCCTTTCCCCCACCCTTTTTCTCTCTTTTTCCCTATCCCTTTCTCTCTCCCCCCCTTCCTTCCTCCCTCCCCTCCTCCTTCACCTTTTCTAGGCAGGACTGAAATCCGCATTATTGCTAGGAAGAGCAGAGACTGGGGGGGGGAGGGAAACGCAAGCAAGGCTCATTGAAACTGAGCCCCATCCGAAGCTTAGGGGGGATAGGAGAGGGAGAAGAACGGAAGCCCATTCGCAGCTCGAGTTGGTTCCTAGCTTTTTGTTGTCACAATAATAATTTTTTGGGGGGGAATCTGTTTTTGAGTGTGTGTTGTCTCTGTGTGTGCAATTTCCCCCTCCCTTCCTTGCTCGCTTTCTCTGTCTCAGAGCAGAGATCTAAGTCGAATTGAAGAACAGGGAGACAGAAGACGGGAAGAAAAAAAGAGGAAAAGCAAAATTGCAGCGTTTGCCTACCGAGGTCCAGTCCCATCTTTAACCAAGGAAGACTGGGCCCGGGGAACCCAAGATTCCCGGAACTCCAAGCGCAGCGATTCTAGATCCGAGAGCCGAGAAAGCAGTACTCGGGCTGGCCGGAGAAAGCCAGAAACCCCAAGGACTATCTGTTCTTGCCTCCCAGTGAAGGCGGCCGAGAGGGACGTGCCAGGACCAGTGGAAAAACAGGACCCAGGGGTGCCCACCGCCCTGAGTGATTATGCCTCGGCTTGGAAGTTTTTAGAAAGCAGTCCCCCACTCCTCCTTCACAAAATATAGACTTACTCTAAAACATCTCGCTCGGCCCCACCATCCGAAGGAGGTGTTTCTGGGTTCCTGTGGGGTCCCCCTTCTTTTAACGATGTACTATTAAAAAGGGGGAGCACCTGAGTGAGGACTCGAGTGCAACAGCCGAAGCCCCGATCCCAGTCAGCAGTGCGGCGACTGAGCCTCCCCATGAGAGAGCCGGTCATCCCTGGGACAAGCATGGCTTACCACCCTTTCTTACCTCACCGGGCTCCGGACTTCGGCATGAGTGCCGTGCTGGGGACACCAGCCTCCCTTCTTCCCGGCTCTCACCCTGCCTCCCAATGGGGCTGCGGCTCTCTCGCTGCCGGGGGCTCTGGCCAAGCCCATTATGGATCAATTAGTCGGGGCCGCCGAGACCGGCATCCCCTTCTCCTCCCTGGGTCACCAGGCGGCGGCTCATCTGAGGCCTCTGAAAACCCTGGAGCCCGAGGAAGAGGTCGAGGACGACCCCAAGGTCCATCTAGAAGCCAAGGAGCTTTGGGAACAGTTCCATAAAAGAGGGACCGAGATGGTGATCACCAAATCCGGAAGGTAAGCGGCTGAAGTTCTGACTTCTGAGGTTGGGTCTTTGGGTTTCTTGTTTTGTTTTGGTTTGGGTTATTATTGGTTCTCTCCCCCCCTCCCCCCAAGCAGTCTGGTGAGCCTGTGTGCTTTCAGCTGCCTCCGGAAAAACGTGCCTCATCGGGAATTATGCGCTGCTATAGACTACTGCTTACTTTGCAGACTGAACTGCAGGAAATCTTAAGACTACCTGCCTCTCACACACGTGCATGCATTCTTACTAAGAAAAAAATGTTCCCTGTCTTTGTGTGTCCGTGCGTGTATGCCTGTCTGTAGACACTCCTATCCACTACTGTGGGAACTATTTTACAGATATCTTTAAAGAAGAAAAAAATTGGTTTTTTTACTTGTGTAGAAAGTACTCAGCTGTCTCCTTTCTGAAATGTGCTAATTGCTATTTTCTAATCTTTGCATTCAGAGAGAATAACTTTAGGCTTATGGTCTCCTATGGGAGCTCTTGGAGTGTGTTTATAGTCTAAAATTTGCCTGTCTCCCTCTGTGTCCGGAATCTTGCCCCCTAGGTTCATAAGAGGCCTAACTGTATATATTTGGGCTGTAGAAATGTATTCCCACATCAATGAGAGAAACTGATCAAAGATATTTTAGTTTGCACACTCACATGTTTGTAATCAGAGAGAAAGAAAAGAGTTCAGCAGGCAAGGGGGGTAATTAGAATTATACAGTCAGGCATATGTCCTATAACATATACGGAAACTAACCTTCCCAGAGAGCTTTGTAGATTTTGCAGAGATCACCTGAACAAACTCTGGCAAAGGCTGGGGGGGCCCTGTGATTTTTATGCTGTACCTCTCTGCTCCTTAAAAGAAAATAAAAGAACGGCATTAAAGCTGGGGGGGGGGAAGAGAAAGAAAGAAGTGAAACCTTGATCCATAATTCTCACAGTCCTCTGTCTCTTTGCTAATTGTGGTCAGAAGTTTTACTTGGAAAACCTCGGCCAAAAAAGTAGGTGCCTTCTTATTTGTTACCAGGTCATATGTTTCCTTTTAAGCCAGGATCGCCGAATGCCAAACTCTTAGGCATAATAAACAGCAAATTTGTGGTATCCTGTCGCAGTTTAAAACTGGACATAGCAGCGGGGGAATGTGGTCAGCCTTGCGCTGCACAGATGGCCGAGAGCTAGAAAATGGCATTTTCTGAATTCGTTGTGGGAGACTCCAGGAACAGTTACCCTTCCCTATATCAGCAGGCTCCAAAGTGCATTTTCTACTAGGAGATAATTTCCCCCAGGCCCACAAACCTGAAAAAGAGCGATTTCCCCACACACACATACACATACTCCCTTTGGCCACTTGTCTGGTGGCAGAAGGGGCCACCACAGTTTTTCATTCTCTGCTACTCCATTGTTTGAGAAGATAATATTTTTAATTAAGCGAGGCTAATTTATATGTGTGTGTACACACACACACACACACACACATAATGTAATAATACATTTTAAAAATTCCTTTTTCTTGGTTGTCTGACAAAATGAAGCAGACCCCTCTTCCCAGATCCCTTTTCCTGCCTTGAAGAAATCCCCCCCATCACCGAAAGTTTTCCTTTGAAATATTGAGGAGTAACTGATCTCGGAAACTCACGAATTTGTTCTGGTCTATCTCTTCTAGGAGAATGTTCCCTCCGTTTAAAGTGAGATGTACTGGGTTGGATAAAAAGGCCAAGTATATTTTGTTGATGGACATTGTAGCTGCGGACGATTGTAGATATAAATTCCATAATTCCCGGTGGATGGTGGCGGGCAAGGCTGACCCCGAAATGCCCAAACGAATGTATATTCATCCCGACAGTCCTGCGACAGGCGAGCAGTGGATGTCCAAAGTGGTCACTTTTCACAAACTGAAACTGACCAACAATATTTCTGACAAACATGGATTTGTAAGTTTCCCTCCGAGTTACATACAAGGATTTTGTTTGTTTTTAATTCTCTCTTCCTACCTCTTCCAGAAGGCCTCCCTTTTCCTCCCCGGCCTTCTCTTCCCGAATAATGAAAGCTGGCTTCCTAGATCTTAAACTTGAGGCGCCCCCTCAACAAGAATCTCTCGGCATTGCCCAAAGAGACCGGAGGGGGCACAGAAAAGATCTGGCTGACCTAGGAGAGGGAGCCCTTACCCAGGCAGCCCAGTAAATTCCCGACCTGTTGTATTTGAATGTTAAAGGCTTGTCGCAGCCGGTTGATTCAGTTTTTTAAAAAATCTATTGTTATTTAAAATCCAAAACCAAACCCCTCTTTACCCACAGTTTTTTTTCAAATTTAGTTTACCCCATTATCATTTTGCTGAAATCAATTCTCTTTTCTAACAAATTTTTAAAAGCTTGATTGCTGGAAAAGTTTAATTAGTATGTCTGGTTAGCTGGAGTTGGTTCTTTTTTTTTAAATAGTTTTTTTTTTTTAATAAAGAATAGGGTTTGACGAAAGCCAGTTTCCTGGGTTACTGGGAAAGGCAGAAAGAGATCTCCTAAACTTGGGTGAAGAGAAGAATTAAAAATGATTCTTGGAGAATGTGAAGTGCCCCTTGTTTCCCCAAGACCCCCAATTCCATTCCACTAATAGGCTGATAAGTGCAAAATAGGGTGAAGATTTCTGGAGCTCTAGGGAGATCTGTCTGGCCTAGAAATCTTTGGGGAGAGTGGATTTACTACCTTACTTTGATTAGCAGATAAATATTCCTCCCTGGATTTCAGCCTTTTAGAGGCTTTAAGCCAATTGGGACAGTCGATTACTGAGAGCTGAAGTCAATACTCCTTTTATAAATTAAATACATTTTCATCTTTTATCTTTTTAATGAATTTTTTTTCCTTTGGGCCCCTAAAGCGGGTTTGCTGAGGATATGGAGTTTGGGTACTTATGCATGTAGAAGACAGGACATACAAGTTTCGTATAGATTGCTGATAAGGATATCTGGATATTGGTAGTGGAGGTGGTTACCAGGTCATTGTCCTAATGAATCTATAAATTAAAGTCAGTCTACCTGGGTTTTGTACCTAGGAGGGCACGGGCAGTGTTGTTTGGGGTTCCAAAGTCCCTGGGATTCTTCTCAGCACTAACCATTCCTTCTCTTTCTTCTCTTTCCTCTCTGCAGACCATTTTAAACTCCATGCACAAATACCAACCTAGGTTCCACATTGTTAGGGCCAATGATATCCTGAAACTTCCCTATAGTACATTTCGGACTTATGTGTTCCCTGAGACAGAATTCATCGCTGTGACCGCATACCAGAATGATAAGGTAATAGAGAATTTGGGGAGAAGAAAGTATAGAATTAAAAAGGGGGGAATTCAGGGAAGTGCTATTCAGGCTTTCTTTTGATGTCATTTGACTTTGTATGGAGGCTAATCTTACTGAAAAGAGTGAGCACTCCTCTGCGTGGCCAACCATCAAAATTTGCTTGGTTTAAAGAGTAGAATGATCTAAAGAAATCCACTTTAGATGACTCTCATTCTGTCTTTATTAGAATATTTAGGTTGCTCTTTCCCAAAACCAATGTTGACTGGCTAACCGTGGAGAGGGAAAGGTCTCTCTGCAAAAATGTAAAATGGGTCTTCTTGAGTCTTTAGCCTAAAACAAGCACAGAATAGGTTTCCTTTCCCCTGCTATCCCACAGCTCCAAGTAGCTTTCTGGTCTGCTTCTTATTAATGTTTTATCCTGCCATGTTTTTATTATTATTATTTTCTCTGTGTGTGGTAGGAGGAGGATGGGAATGCCCAAGGATTGGACTAGTATAAAAAACATTTTTATGTTGGGGGTACTCTGAGGTGTGGTCAGTCAAGTGGGGATTGTAGCCTGAGATTTTTACTACCTTGTCCCTAGTCATCAGGAAATATTCCAGGCCCACTTTGCAGACAGTTTGGGAGGGTGAACTCAGAAGGCTGCGTGTATCACAGAGGAAACATAACTGGGTGCTGATTGAGGAGCTCCCAGATCAGCCTCATTCTTCTATGACCCACAAGTAGGAGTCATTCAAAAAAAATTGTTTTCGTGGAATCACCCACTAATCTTTTTTCATGATAGATGGTCAATCGTGCCTTACACGTATTGATGCTTAATAAACAGTTTGTTGGTTTCATTGACTTGACATTTGTCATAACACAGTCCCTGGCCCCTGTGGGCTGGAGCTGAGAGTTGGAAGGGAGGAATGCAAGGCCATTGACTGGGTGTCCTAATGGTGGGTGTTTATTGGAATTGAAAGGCAAAGGGCTTTAGTTAAGTTCAATTTCTCCAGAAACCAAGTTCCAACCAATTTTCTCTCTTACCATGATGGAAAAAGTTGCCCTTTTTACCTAGAAAACAATTTGAAAAGGAAGCTTTGTCAGACACTTTGGGGGGGGGGTGCAGTATAAATCTTATTTGGCAAAAACCAGCTTCTTAGTTGCTCCTTGGACTCTGGATTTGTGTTGGGCAGTTAATACTAATACTAATACCAATACTAATATTAAAGCTTTCTATAAAGTACATTGCAATAGCAATATTCCTTGGCAACATAGAGAAGTGGAAAATTTTGTTTACAATCGTGACCTCTCCCCACCAAGTTTCTATAAAACACTTTATGAGATTGAATGGGGGCATAATTCACTTTACAATGAATTGCGGGTATATTTAAAAAAACAACAAAAAGTGCTAAGTGGAAACATAATTTTTTAATAGCTAGAAAATTTTGTATTTTACATTTTTTTCAGCCTTCAAATGGACTTTATACTCCAGCTCCAGAACCATCTCCAGGCCACCTAATGCCTGAAGACTTACTTAGGGAATCGAGGTTGGGGAGGGGGATGTCAAAGACAGTTTTGACTCTACTTTCCTTCACCCTCTACCTATCTCAGCTGAATTCCTAATCCTGAACTAAGGAGAGTATGGAGGTGGGGAGGTCTGTGCGGCACTTCAGAAGAGTTTCAGAGATGAGGCAAAAGTTTTCTGACTCCTCTGTCCTCTTTCCAGATAACACAGTTAAAAATTGACAACAACCCATTTGCCAAAGGGTTCCGAGATACGGGGAATGGCAGGCGGGAGAAGAGGTGAGTAAAGAAAATTGCTTCATAAGGAAAGCTTTGGGAGATCTTGAATTCCTATTTGGAAATCCAAAGTGTTTGTAAGGAGGCAATTGTGTCTTTTGATGGAGAGAGAATGCAGTCCCAGGAGGTCCTAGGGCCTTCCATCTTTGCCGAGAGGGGTGAACAGCCCCACCCAAATTTCAAAGGACATTAAAATCCATTTGGAAGCAGACTGGGGGTAGAGGGTCTGTTTATAAATCCTTTGTCCTAGGTAACTGGAATTTGTCAAGGTCCCATTAAAAAGCTTATCCAAGAAATATGTTGATCAAATCAGAAATTCCTGATTGACCCATCCCAGGGTACTGGTTATGGACTTCCCACTCCAATCCTGGTGGGGTGGGGCTGGCAGTTGTAAGTACGTTTGGACTCTTGAGTGAAAAAAAATAGAATCCCAACCTCCCCCAAGGACAAAATAGCCTGGGGGGTGGGAGGTGACATACATAGGCTGAAGTGTACTCTCCTGCTGAGTTGAGCAGGGATTTTGCTGACCAGAAGTTTCCCTTTCTGACAAAGTCAAAACTTTTCTAAGTCAGAAGAACCCAGAATTATGTCTTTCTTTGAGGAATGAATAAGAGAGGAGATGGCAAGAAGAAAGCTCTTCCCTGCAGGTGCCCAAAGGAAATGATTTCGAATTTTTTTGAAACAGATTTTTTGTTCTTAAACTGGACTGATTGTTGGTGGAGAGACTGAACAGAGTGCAGGGAGAAATCATTTGAGTTCCTTACGATCTCAGAGACTATTAAGGGGCTTGATAGACCAGGCTTTAATGACCCAACAATCTGTCCTTCCCCCTGCCCTATCTGTAGACTCAATACCGATTTCCCCTGCCTGCCTGTCTGCCTCCCTCCCACCCCCATTAACCAGGGTACTCTGGCCCTTATGCATGTCTGTTAATGAAATCTCCAGCCTTAATAAATGGAGAACAGTCACCCCTTTCCAAACTTTCTTAAAAATCAACCCACTCTGTACAGTATCTTCCTCTCCCCCTAACTGGCAGCTGTGTTTAGATCAAGTTTTAGACCCCTGAAGTAACTGGGCTAGGTGTTAGGAATATATATTTATACATCCTCTGGGCTTACTGAGGGGCAAAAGCAGGCAAAAAAATCCTCCCCCCTAAAGTACTTTGCACTACTCTGTCTGCAGAAAGCAGCTGACTTTACAATCCATGAGAGTGTTTGAGGAGAGACATAAGAAGGAAGCTGGGACCTCCGATGAATCCTCCAGTGAGCAGACAGCTTTCAAATGTTTTGCCCAATCCTCTTCCCCAGCAGCTGTCTCCACAGTTGGTACATCTAACCTCAAAGGTAGGTATCAAAGGGCCACTCCAACCTCTGAGAGCATCTCTGCCCCCTCATGGCACTTGGTAGCCAAAGATGGGCATGTCTCTGCTTCTAGTGCCCTTCCTTAGTGCTTTCCCCCAATCCTTTTTTCCCCTCTTTGGCATGCCTCTCTCTCTTGACTGGCCTAGTCACTAAGGCAGAGACAAAACATTTCTGAGTTGTCCTTCACTGATTTATAATTATACCCCAATCTTTGAGAAGGGCCTGGAAGCCTTGTTCCTTTCCCCTGACAGATGTAAGGAGTCATGCACTCCATCCTCTACCCTCCCTGTCCCATGCTAGTAGATTTGTGCTGCTTCCCTCCCTTCCTCGGCTCTTCAACATGTTCTCCCACATCAAAGCCATTGCAATTTTCCTTTATGCATACAGATCTAGATTTGAAAGATATTTGAGCACCTTGGAAATGGGGTGGGGGGTGAAGAAGATGTTACAGGTAGGAGAGAGGGGGAGAAAAATAATCTTTGCCACCTGGAGCATAGGAAGGAGTTCCAACCCAGCTGAAAAGTCAGTCGGCCTGTGGGGTGGAGGTGTACTGGGGGAGGGGGAGGGGGAGGGGAGAGAGATGAGATGGTTCAAGACCTGAACCGGTTTCCTGTGTTTAAAGAGCAGTCAATATTTATTTGGAAAGAAACACACAGAGAGAGACACAACGGAAGAAACCTGTTTTCAAGGGAAATAAAATGAAAGAACTTTATATCTTTAATCCATTAAAATTTTCCAGTGTAAAATGGCTTGCAATGGTATCCAGCTAGGAGCGTGCTGATAGGAAAATAAAATTGTGTTTGTTTAAACTGAGGGAGGAATGTGTCTATTCTACAGGTCCTTTCCTCTCTCTAGGCCTCAGTTTCTTCTGTAAAATGAGACTGTCAAACTCGATGAATTCTCTAGGCCAGGGGTGGGGAACCTGCGGCCTCCAGGCCACAAGTGGCCTTCTAGGTCCTTGGGTGTGGCCTTTTGACTGAGTCTAAGTTTCATGGAACAGATCCTTTTATTAAGGGGATATGGTCTGTAAAGTTTGGATTCAGTCAAAGTGCTGCACTTGAGGACCTAGAGGGCCACATGTGGCCTCCAGGCCGCAGATTCCCCTCCCCTGCTTCTAGGCTAGACCCTGGAGGGTTTAAATGATTCCCCCTTTCCCTAGTAAAGTGCCTTCCCACTGCTCCAAAGAACTTTCTTTGTTTTGTCTTTATGCATCTGTATAAGTGTTTCCTGTAGTACAAAGTAAGCACCTTGAGGGGAAGGCCTCTCAGTTTTAATCCTTTTATTCAAAGTACCTAAGTGTCCCGATGCACAAATTCTGCCTGCTTAATAAATGTCTTTTGACACATTTCTAAGCTTAAGGTTTTAGAAAGTGAGTTTGCCTCCTTGTGGAATTTCTGGGTTGAATTGGTGTGATGGTGGCTGGGGGAGGGGTGCAGTTTGCAGTCTAATTGTACGCTCATCACTTGCATGGGTCTCACCCTGACTTGTGCCCTTTCTCTCCTGCAGATCTGTGCCCTAGTGAGGGAGAGAGCGATGCTGAAAGCAAGGAAGAGCCCCCTGAGGCCAGTGACATGGGGAAAATCTCTACCACCACATCGGAGGAGCCTTCCAAAGACAAGGGCGCCTCACCCTCCAAGGCCCACCTCTTCTCATCGGAGAGAGATCGAGATCGGGACCGGGATAGGGATCGAGAACGGGCCAGGGAAGGGATACGGCTGGAAAAGAATTCCCCAGATTCTCGTCATAGCCCAGCTGCCATCTCCTCTAGCACCCGAGGCTCAGGCTGTGAGGATCGAAAGAGCCCTGGCCGGGAAGGGGTACCCAAGGCCCCTGAGGAAGGGCGCCCAGTGCTCCCGGGAAAGGAGACCTTCACCCCTCTCACAGTGCAGACGGACAGCTCACCACACCTGAGCCCAGCTCACCTCCCGAACCTGGCCTTCCCCCCTGGCCTGGCTAGCCAACAGTTCTTTAGTCCCCTGGGCAATGGCCACCCTCTCCTCCTGCACCCCAGCCAGTTTGCTATGGGGGGAGCCTTCTCCAGCATGGCGGCGGGTATGGGTCCCCTGCTGGCCACCGTGTCTGGAGCTTCCACAGGAGTCACCGGCTTGGACACCACGGCCATGGCCACTGCAGCGGCCCAGGGACTATCAGGGGCTTCTGCGGCAGCCTTGCCCTTCCACCTCCAGCAGCACGTCCTAGCCTCTCAGGTAATTCCCTCCCTGGGTTTCTCTCTCTGTCTCTCTCATCCCCGCCCCCCCCCCCGTCCCTTTCCTTGAAGCTGGGTGGTACAGTAGATAGAACATTAGACTTGGAGTCAGGAAGGCAAATCCAGCCCACAAAATGATTATGACTCTGGGCAAGTCATTTCACTTCTTTCCTCAATTTCCTTATTGGTAAAATATGGGTAATCATAGCACCAACCCTACAGGATTGTCATGAGAATTAAAAGTGCTTTGCAAACCTTGAAGAGCTATATAAATTCTAGCTGCTATCATCATTATTATTATTGCCACCCCTGGCTCAAATTGCCTCCCTGGGTGCCAGGCAGGGTTGGGATTACAGTAAGAGGGCACTCTTCTGTCCTCCCAAGCATTAATTTTGGAGAAGGCCATCCTGGGCTAACAACAACAACAGCTCAGTTTTGGAGTGTGACCAGGACAAGGAAGGGAGCTGTCTGTGTGTGGGGAGGGCAGCAGTATGGGGGAGGAATGGGCCTTGGGCAAGAGAGAGAAAGGAGGGGGAGCCAATGAATCAAGCCAGGCTGCCGAAATTCAATAGAAGCTGTATTTGGGAGGAAGGATCTTCGCTTTTCTCTTTTGACTGGAACTCATTTCTGTTCCCTCTTGTGCTGTCTGATATTTCTAAGGACCCTAGAAATGTGGAGGATTTGGGGGGAGGGAAGGACGAAGGGATTGCTCTGTCAGCCTTTTTCCAGCAAAAATTGTGGAAGTTGTGATGGAAAACAATAGCCTAGGAGTTTGGTGATGGCTATTAAGCCTGGCTGTCACTCAGTAACTGTGTAATGCTAGGAGCCGCGGATCTGCTCCTCCCTACTCTGTAAAATTAAGTCACGCTAAGAAAAATTGGGCCCTCCACTCTCTGTATTCTAAGGTCCTCACCAGCTCTAGCATTTTCTGTTCTAAGGCTCCACCCACCTCCACCGTTCCCTGTCCTGAGGTCTTCCTCAGTTTCAACATTCCATGTTCTCAGGTCCCTCCCAGCTCTGGCATTCTATGTTCCGAGGGCCCTCCCGGTTCTAATATTTTATGATCTGAGGTCCCTCCCAGCCCTGATAGTCTATGGTTTTGTTCTTGGCCTGCAACGTTTTCTCTTGGGATCTGGGTCCTTGGCTGGCTCTTCTGGGACTAAGGATAGGAGTTGTGGCTTCTGGATTTGCAATAGGAAGGAGCCCACGACGCCTCTGTTCCCCAGAATCACTGACTCCTCCCTCCGCACTTTGTTTCTCCAGGGACTGGCCATGTCGCCTTTCGGAAGCCTCTTCCCCTACCCTTACACCTACATGGCAGCAGCTGCAGCTGCCTCCACGGCAGCGGCTGCTTCCAGCTCCGTCCACCGGCACCCTTTCCTGAACGCCGTGAGGCCCAGACTTCGCTACAGCCCGTACTCCATCCCTATGCCCCTACCTGACAGCAGCAGCCTCCTCACGCCGGCTCTCCCTTCGATGGCTGCGGCTGCAGCCGCAGCAGCGGCAGCAACGTCGGGCAGCGTGCTGGAGAGCAAAGCGGCCAATTTAGCTGCCAGCCCCGCCTCGGTGGCTTTGGACTCGGGCTCTGAACTCAACAGCCGATCTTCTACTATCTCCTCTGGCTCTGTGTCCTTGTCCCCAAAACTCTGCCCTGAGAAGGAGCCCTCCACCAGCGAACTACAGAGCATCCAGCGTCTAGTGAGCGGCCTGGAGTCGAAGCAAGACAGATGCCGCAGTGAATCCCCCTAATGGCCTGCGCCTCAATTCCAGAGTTCCAAGAAAGGGGACCCGTTGGGGTGGGGGCAAAGGATGGGCGCAGAAGTAAACGAGAGTGAGGGCGTCCTCATCTTGAGTTCTTGTGTCTCATTCCCAATCATTCTCGAGTGCACTTTGTAAAACTATGGTGAAGTCCCTCACATGGCCCTGTGGCCACAGCAACCCCTCCGGAAAGGGCTGGGCGGGGGCCCCCCTGAGGCTGAGGCTTGGGGGGGGGAGGGTTTAATGGAGGAAAAGACCTAAAAGCTGCTATGTTTCAGAACCATGCTCTCATTGAAAGGTCATGTTTGTCCCGTAGAAAGCAGAGATGGTCAAGATCGTCTCTAGAGGTGTTTGTTTGTTTGTTTTCCCCACTCAGTGTGTAAAATAGACTAAATGAAATAAAAATGAATGGAAATGAATGAATAAGGTTTAGAAAAGTGATTTTTTAAGAATATAAAGTGACTTGCATTATCATTTCTTCAAAATGAAACTGACTGAAGAACTCTGGGGTGGGATAAAGATATACCTGTAGCCCTTGTTAGCCTGTATTAATGAACTCGATGTCTTTTTAATATTATTGTGATGTCTTAAGAGCCCCCATAGGGCACTTGCATGCTCCACCGTAGTCTATTTTTCTGTTTTATTTTTCTGAATGTTTAATTCCCAGGGAGAAAAGGAAATGACCCTTCTTCCCCCTCCCACCCCGAACTGCAACAGGCCCCCCCTAATATTAATAATTTTAAAAGAGGCAGATAAATAAGTGGGAGGGGAATTGAATTTATTTTATGAAATTTTGTTTCATTGCTAGTTGTCTCCCTCGGGTTTCCTTCTCTCTTTACTGTATATGCAATAACAAGGTTATTAAAAATAGTTTAAAAAAAGAGAAGTGGACACTATTAGACAAAGTATTTATGTAATTATTTGGTAACTTGTAAATAAGTGGAATATGAATACTCAGAATTAAACTTTAATTTATTGACACTGTACAGATCTCTGTAAATAAGGCAGCAGCTGCCCCGTGTTTCGTTCTCCATTTCATTTCAAGGTCAGGCTTGGAAAACAAGGAAACATACAGCTCTGGGCTGGGGGTTTTTTTCCCTATTTTTTTTTTTTGCAAAGTACCTCCCTTTTAATAACCAAGTTAGTAAAAAGTCCTAATGCAGAAGATAAAAATAAATTAATGGGAAGGGTGCTATTATTAGGTACTTTCCTGCGTCAAATGAAGGGCGTGGAGATTGTGGGGAGGAGAAAAGGGGCAAAGCAGAATCTTGTGGGCTGTATTTCTCGTTTTCTGAATTTGCCCATTCCTTCTTGTGTCCAAATGAAATGGGTTTGACTACTGGTGTCGCTGTGTGATCCATTTATTTCTCAGTTGGTGCCTAGAGATAATAGCTAATCCAAGTTTGAAAGTCAGGTGTCTTCAAGAAAAAAAAAACACCAAACTTTAAAAAAGGAAAATCCATGAAGGTATATTTTGTGTTAATAGAATCGTTAATGAGCTCTTGGTTTTCTGTATTTTTTTCTTTTAAAACGTCACTGAAATTTCAATAAATTTTTATTGAAATGTCTTCCAGACTTTGTCGAATGCCTTTCTTGTTGGGATCGTCACAGGAGTAGACAAACAGGAACAAAGAATCCTAATTCCCCCCCCATTAAATAATTAAGTCGCCTGCCGTCCTCCGTCCTCCCCCCCCCATCGAACTGAGTAGTTCTGGAGAGCTGTCAATCAAGTGTCACGGAGGCGCCCAAATACTTTTTTTTTTGCTCCAGAAAAATAAAGTGGGAGGGGGAACTCCAAAAAGAATCTAATCATGCATTTTCTTCGAGATGAGAGAGGGAGAGGGACCGGACAGACCGGGAGGGAGGGAGGAGAAGGGTTTGAGTTGCCTAGCGCCTTCAGATCTTGCTTTCAATGGCAAAAGACGGTAAAGGCGGTAAAGGCCTGCCGGCGTGCTCATGGCTCACTCAGACCTACATCTGTCATAAATTATGGAGCCAACGGGGAAGAAGGTGGGAGCTTCCAAAGCGAAACTTTAGAGACGCCTTTGCCCTTTCCTGTGGTGTATTCTGCCGGCCCCAAATTTCCTAGCACTACTCGCCCCCTCCCCCACTTCCCAATTCAAAGTGACCCAGGGATGCGAATTAAAATGCATATGTGTGGATGTCACCTTGGCCTTTCCCAGGTGAGGCTGCTAGCTCGCTAGTCTCCAATCTCAGCTCTGCGGTTGGAAAGGTGTCCGACTTTTAGAGGCTTCCCAGGACGAAGGACAAGGACAGACGGTTCCCAGAGTTTTCACTTCTAGCCGTCTGGGCCTATCGCTAAGGATACTGCCAGGCGAGTTTCCATTCCTTTCAGAACGTGGGGTTGGAAGATCAACGGGCGGCGAGGCGATAGAGGCTCCCCACAGCTGGCACTGGGCGCTGACCTAAGCCGCCTCGCCAGTGGCCCGGGTCAGGAAGCTGCGGCTCCCAGGTAGTGTCAGCTTCCCAAACCTTGGGAAGGAGGAAAAGAGGTTCCATTGCTCTAGCACTGTAGGGGGCTTACATAATACTTTCACTCTAGTCCTCCCCTCACCCACCTCCGACAACCTAGTTAGGGAAGCAAGACTTCTTAGGAACTAGACGCTCAGAGAGAGGTGGCTTGCGCACCGCCACCTGTCAAAAAACTGGAGTGGCTGGGTCTCCCACCAAGGGCTTCCTATAATAACTAAGCTAGGTCTCTTTCCCTCTGGAGCCTGCCCAGGGCTCGCATCTGCAATCTTCCTAAGCCCAAGAAGTAGTGCGCTGCCTCAGTGGTCTGGAGATGACGCCTGGAAGCGAGAAGCGGCTCCGGCTGAGCGCGCACTGCTGGCTCAAAACACCCGAATCCAGCTCCCCATCTCTCCTGTAGGCCCGAAAGCTAGGGGTGGACTGAGCCTCTTAGACATTTAATTCAAAAAGCCAGAGTAATTTCTCCGGAGTGGAAGGGACACTTCTGAGCCCCAGAAAGCGATAGAGGCCGAACTGGCCCCTGCCCGCATTTCTCCCCGGCTCCTGCCTACTCCTTCTTTCTGGAGGATTCCCCCCAGCCCCCAGGCAGTCCAGTAGGTTTCCTTTTGAAGTTGAGTTTTATCTTTTAAACAGTCAATAAAATGCCGAGTGCCTGTCAGACCTTCCCTTCTGCATATTCATTCCTACCTTACCTCGAGGTGGAGGGGAGAGGAGGGTGGGGAGTGAAGGGGACTCCCAGTGAAAGCCTTCTACCTCCATGCCCTGGGGCCATGAACTGGGAGGTCGTGGAAGGAGCCGGTTAGGCGGCTGCCCCCGCTCCCTTAGCTTGGGGAGGGGGGAGGGGAAGGAGAGTGCTGGCCCCGGTCCATAGCTCTTACACCTTGGAGTAGCTGAAACGGCCTACAAAGGTGGTGGGGAGGGGAGGCTGCCTTCCCTTCTCACTCTCCTCTATCCCCAATAGGGGTGGGGTGGGTGGAGGAGTACAGACTTCTCTTCGGTCCCAGAATCCATAGGCTCTGCTGTCGGCTTGGGGATGGGGCCTAGTCCCCAACTTCTCCTTGGCCTTTTTTTTTTTCTGCTGGTAAGCTTCCGCAAAATGGGCCGTTTGGGTAGACGGAGAACCCAGGACCAAAGGGTTGTTTTCTTTTCAGCGCCACTTTTCTACTGTTCTCCAGCGTTGGAAATGTAGATTGAAGAGATCCTCTGGTTTCTTTTATCCATGCCTCAAGCTGCCTCTATCTGACAAATGCAATTCAACCAGCATTTGTTAAGAGCCGGGTGTGTGTGTGTGTGTGTGTGTGTGTGTGTGTGTGTGTGTGTGAGAGAGAGAGAGAGAGAGAGAGAGAGAGAGACACTACCCTCACAGAGTTTTTATTCCATTGGTACAATACGAGAGAGAGAGAAAGCCCTCTTTTGGCCCCAGGGTCCTGATCAGAAGGTGAGCCCATAGTCCACCAGAATAGACCTACAATACACATATGAACTAAATAAATAAATGAAAGGAAGGAGAGGTGAGTGGTGGATGGCTATCTGGCTGCCTGGATAGATGGATTTATTTGGGAAGGAGACCCTTTTGGTAAAATTTGCATACCTGAATTTTAAGAGCTGTAATCCCTGGAAGGGGTTGGAAGTGGGGGAAGGGAAGCAAGAAGGAAATAAGATATTGATTTCTTTCTATTCCTATTTTCAGGATTTTCCCCCTTCCTGCAGTGAAACTGATCTCGAATTCTTCCCAGACCAGTGGTCAGATCTGAGAGATTCAGCCGCTAGGCTGGCTCTGTCTGTCACTGTCTCTCTGTGTCTCTGTCTCCCTTATCGCTTGTATATCTTATTTGTATATAGTAACGTTAATGAGTAATCTTCGTGGCGCTGGCAGACAAGGGTAAACAGCTAGCAATCTCTCTGGATTAGCCTGCCGATTACTCACCTGGCGCCTCTCTCAATCTACCGGGTAGGTTTATGGCCCTGGCAGCCTTGTGCCGGCAAAAGGCCCCTTTCTCCGGGCTTGGAGTGCCACCTATCTGTCCATCCAGCAAACACTCCCGGTCAGAGCCCTGGTCACCTAGCAGTTCTGTTTCCCTCAGCTCTGGAACTTTGCCACTCCCAGCTGCCCAGTCCTCTTCCTTTCCTCTTCTCCCTTCAGTTTCCACTTGCTTTCTCCCTCACCTACTGGGACTCAGTAGCCAGAGTGTGCTCAAAAGCAAGAGAGTTGAAGGCCTCTGGCATCTGGGGAAAATCAGGTCTAGCTTGTGGACGGACAAATCTTTTGGTGTGCATTTGTGTTTGTAGGGCTCCTGACACCCCATCTGGAAAAAAAAATCAAGATCCTGGCAGTTTCTGGTCAAAGCATCACCCATTTCCCAGAACTCTCCATCTCCCATATTCACACCCCAGTCCATAGCCAGGAAGCTGGCTCAAGATGCTCTGGGCTTTATCTGGATCAGCCTCCATACACATCCTTTTCTGGACTCTTCTAACTCCCTCCCCCCACCTCCCCTCTACCTCCCATGGTGGGGACACTTCAGTCTTTTTTCTTTCAGTGGTTTGGTAGCTATTTCTCCTTTCTCCTGGCCTGAGGTGAACAAGTCTTGGACACCACGGAATGGAAAAATTTATTAAGCCCACTCCCACACACCTCTTTGCCTTTGTCATATTGCCCCTGCCAGACTAACACTAAAACCACAGAACAGAATTTCTTAAAAACCTGGAGAACCAAGATTCTGCCTCCAGTGCCTAATAAAAACAGTCCTGCATCTTTTAGCCACTCGGTCTTGGAGGCCCAGTACCCTGATTTAAACTTTACTGTGTAGGAAAGAGCAGAGCCCCCAGGCATTGTGCTATCCTGAAAGCTTCTGGGAATGTGGAACCCAATTGCTGAAAGTATCTGGGGATCCCTTCAGAGTGCAGGCCTTTTAACAGGGCAGAAGAGGGGTGAACTTTGGAAGGCTAGGAAGATTCAGGGTTCACAATGGAAATCTTTGCTTTTCCTCTCTTCTTTAAGCCCAAAGTCAGAAAGAAAGGTCTGGATATCTGGGGCCATTTTAAGGGGACAAAAATGGATGGCCTGCCCAGTCAGAGGAAAAATCTGTCCATGCTGCTTGTCGATTTCCACTAGTGTGACCTTGGAAAAATCACTTTCTTTTTCTGGGCCTCAGTTTTCTCCTTTGTAAAATAAGGTCCCTACATTATAGTGGTTCCTATTTCTAAGTCCTAAATCCTAAACCTCTGAGTCACAGACCATATGAGACCTGAGCTTAGGTGCCTATCCCTTGTTTAGCCTTCTGTCTGAAGTTTAGAGTTTTCTCAAGTAAGTTTTGCAGAAAATTCCCCTTGGGGAAAGTGTGGTAAAAGATTCAGTGCTATTCCCAGTGAAGTTTTCAATGATACTTTATAAACCAGGAAATAATGTTCATATCTGGGGTAAGTAAGGTTAGAGAAAGAGAACTGTTCCCAGTTAACAATGACAAACCCTTCTTCAATTCTATTCCTGTTAACACCAGGTTAGACCAAGTATGTTAGATCTCTGTGTATCTTAGCATATCTGTGGACTAGGGATCCATTAAATACAATGAGAATTAGGGGTCAGTCAGACATCCATTTCCCACTAGTCTTTCTGTGGTACCTCATTGTTGCATGGATGGAATTTGGGGTGTTTTGAAGGCCATTCCTTGGACAAAGAGAGGGTGTATGCCTAACGTCCAAAGACACTGGTCAATAGGGAGTGTTGATGACAATGAAAAGAAAAACAAGGAGAGTGGAGGAGAAAGGAGGAGAAAGAGAAGAGGAGGAAAAGAAAGAGAAGAGAGAAGAGGAAGGAAAAAAAGGAAGAAGTAACTGACCATATCAACTAGAGAACCAGTCAAACAACCTGATGTGTGAGGAGTATAATTTTCCCCAAAAATTTTGCAACTTTGTAATATTTTGCCTTTATTGTGAAGTCAGCTTTCCCTTAAAGCATTCTTTTTCTTCCAGGAGCTCCTGTGGTCTCACTCCTCCTTCTCCACCATCTGCCAGCCTTGGGTGTGAGCATGTAAAGATAATATTTTGATGTGGAATGGTTTTTGTTGTTGTTGTTCACTTAACTCAGCTGTCTGGTTATCCTTCCATTCATCTTTCTATTCATTCATTCATTAGTTTGTTTATTTTTGTTCCAGGGCAGCCCCCCCAAAAAAAATTCAAAGAGAAGACTAGGAGATGGTTAAGAACTTTTAAAATGCCTTGTGTCTGGAACCCTAGTTGGGAAATCACACTCGTACCTTGCCCCTGGTGTCGTGTTCCGAAGCCCCTCTCCGAAGGAAAAAAAAGGGGACAACGTAAGGACTGGGCACTTGGATTTTTCCAAGGGATCAGAAGTGAGGGGAACCCACAAGAACTTGGGCTTGCTTACTACTCACCCTATGCGACAGAGAAACTGAATAGAGAAATTTGAGAGGCTGGCAGCTTCTTTTATCCTTCTGTTGGAAAACAGTCTGGCCATCTCCTTAGTCTCTTGGTCCCCAACTGCGGTCTCTGCAACGACCAGGGAATCTGTCCGTGTCATCCTCCCTCAACCACTACCGTGCACCCCCCGAGCAGCTTGCGGACTAGGAAGCTAGAACTGGCCTGGAAGGACCAAAGAACCGTCTGGGGTTTTTGTTTGTTTGTTTGTTTGTTTGTTTGTTTTCAGAAGTAGAGGAAGTGTGAAAGCAGAAGCTTCTGCCTTAATCCACACCGCCGCCCCGTTTCTTTGGCCCAACTTTCTTCACAACTCCTGAAACTCACCTCCGGCAATGCCAAGGTGCTGTGCTCCTGGGGTTAGACAAGGATGGTTAGCATGCCGACTTAATCACCTGGTGAGATGCCCGGGGCTTTAGAATCCTCCAACTCCAGTAGAGAGCTGAATCCCTGGAGCACAATGTAGCCCTAGAAGCAGGAGTGTTTTGGGGAGGTTTCCGGAACTTTTCCAGCCCTTCTGGTGAGAGAGCGCCTTCCTTCCAGAAGAAACAGCCTCATCTCTCTTTGGCATCAGACTCCTGAATGTTCACCCGGAGGCCGAATGTTCTAAGCCTGGCCAGGACGACAGATATGGATGGACTTGGGGCGAGGAGATTTGCTGTTCTATCCTAACCCGGTTCCTTAGGAAGAAATCACCCTCTCCTAGTACTCCCCGTACCCCCAATTTGTCAATGAACTTTGGGGCCTCAAAGTAGACTTCCCTGAAGCAGACTTTCTAGAGATCTGTTTGAAGGCCGAAGGATTAAAGCGATTTTCAGTTGTCATCTTGGGCCTTGGGTTGGGGACGGACTGCAGCCGTCTTCTCTACGGAATTGTTGACATAAAGTGTCGGGGGAGGTTAAAAAAAAAAAGACCGCATTCCTTTATATTCTTTAAGGTTTACAATGCGTTTAGCATAAATTAGCTCGTTGAATCCTCAAAATGAATCTGCTGAAGGAGGTGATATTATCAACCACTTTTGCAGATGAGGAAAATGATCATGTAGCCAGTAGTATGTGTGGAAGGATTTGCACTCGCGTCTTCCTGACTCCAGGGCACGTTTCATCTCTACAGCTAGCATTATACCCGTTTTACAGAGAGGAAACGGAGGATCAGAGATTAAGTGGCCTTTCCATAGTCATACAGCTAGGAAGTGTTAGAGGTGGGATTACCACGCAGGTGTTTAGTGACCCCAACTCACCGCGCCGGTAGGATTGGAGGATTCAGAGGCGAAGGGAACCTTAGAAAACTTGAAGAGACATTAGAGAATCGAGGTAGTTACTTTCCTTCAGGGCTTGGGAAGAGAGCTGAGTCAGAAATTCTGGAACGAAGGTGAAGCTGGAGAGTGGCCTAAAGGGATATTTTCAATGCACTTTTTTTTTGAGGGGGGATGAAGAATTGCACTCACAATTTTAGTGTTGGAGAACCCCTTTCATAAGTCGAAGGTGTGTGCGGGGGGGGGGGGTTGCGTGCGTGTGTGTGACGTCTCTCGGCGGATGTTAACACAAGAGGGGGAAAATTTTTCAAACTTTTGTAGGCCTGGTCCGTCCTCTTCACCCTTCTCTCATCTTCCCTATAGGCCCTTCGCAGCCCCGCTCGCCCTCACCCCCTCCTCGAAACTCACACGTTCTATTTCATCTTTTGAAATGTGACCTTCCCAGGCCACTTCAATTTCCCCCTAATGACACCCGGGGATCTGGTTTCTGGTTGTGGAATGACTGGTTTTTAACGTGCCACGCACCCTGCAGGCCCCTATCCCCCGCACCTCCTTGGAATGGG